CATCCGTAAACATCTATTCATCTTCTATAGCACTGTTGTTATGCGCGTCTTTGTGCTGCATTGGTCAGCAAACACATTTGACAATGTTTTTCGGCCTCATATTTGGCGTGTCTCGCATATTAATAATTAGTTAAAATGTTAAAAATAGATAAAAAGTGATCCCTAGCTCCCTACATCGTGGTTCATTTATCGCGGCTTCAGTGCATCGCATTTTTTTTCTAAAGTACTATATTCATAAAGGTGGCCCGGTAGTCCAGTGGTTAGCACGTCGACCTCACAGTGCAGAGGTACTGGGTTCAATTCCAGCTGCAGCCTCCCTGTGTGGAGTTTACATGTTCTCCCCGGGCCTGCGTGGGTTTTCTTTGTGTACTCCGATTTCCTGGCACATTCCAAAAACATGCATGGCAGGTTGATTGAATACTTTAAATTGTCCTTCGGTGTGGATTTGAGCGTGGATGGTTGTTCGTCTCTGTGTGCCCTGCACCCTTGTGAGGAGGAAGCGAATCAGAAAATGGATGGATAGATTCATAAATTTTTTTTAAAAAATGCCGAATGAGTCAGAGGTTTTGTACATGGATGTACTGCACTGAATATGCAACGGGTACTCATTAAAGGTCATTCAAGGTTCCTGCGCGACGTCAACCAATGACAGCACGAGCAGATTTATCCCGTGAGCTGATTGGCTGCGCATCTTCGCAGCCCCATCCAGCACCTTTTGTCTCGCTAGGCTGTTAACTATCTGCCATACTGTCTCATAAAGTGTTGTTTGCTACATGCATGGTGTACAGAGAGAGAGAGAGAGAGAGAGAGAGAGACAGAGACAGAGACAGAGAGAGAGAGTCCCACAGCAGCAGCACTTCGTCCGTCAGAGCGCAAATTAGAACGGTTTCCGATTGACCTAAAGCCTGTACAAGTCAAGTGAGAGCAGCCTTCTACGCCACCAACACAAGTCTCTTCGCCTCTCTCAGTAGGCAATGTTGATGAATGTTAATTACTGTTTAAGGCAGGGGTGCCCAAACCTTTTTGTCCCAAGGGCGACTTTTCAAGGAGCCAACCTCTGGAGATCTACCAGTCCAGTGTCAACATCTGACCCCCACACACACATTAATTAAAAACAGCCAAGCCATTTGGCTTTCCTCCGTAGAACCAAATATGAACCAAACAGAAAAAAACAGCTATGAAACAGGTAGATCTCTGTTTGAAAAAAGGAAATCACTTCCTACCTCAGTGGGCTGGCTTTGATCCCAATGTCATTTTGCAATCTCAGAATCTCATCCTCAAGAGTGGGGCTTTCAAAGTCGAAAAGTGATTTGACTTTGGCGGCAATGTCACCAATGTCAATATTTGCACCAAATGGATAACACATATAGCTGACTATAGGCCCGATGGATGCAAAGTCAGTAAAACACCTCTCAAACTCTGACGAGATGCTCTGAACATGCTCCTCATAACGTGCACTGTCAAGCTGTGTCACACCTTTCCCTTGACGTTGTAGTTCTGCTTGCATGTGAGGGAAGTTGCACAGGTTACCAAGCCACAGCCGGTTAGACATCAGCTTTAGCTTGCTTTTAAATGTGCTCACTGAACTCATCATGTTGACTACATCTTTACCCTGACCCTGCAGCTCTAAATCAATTCAGTGAGCTGACCAGTGAGATCAGTGAGGAAAGATAAATCTAAAAGCCACTGTTTGTCCCGCTAACAAATCCCATGAAAGCATTAAAAATATCCTCACCCCTGGTGTGTACTTTTAATGGCAAAATGGTGAGTAGCTCTTCATTGGTACTTCATTGGTGGAAAATGGTAGTTCTTGGATCATTTCCATTTAGCCAGGGGTGGCCAACCAGTCAGAGACAAAGAGCCATTTTTTTTTACTGTGTTACTGCAAAGAGCCACATATACATGGGCATCCCGTCCTTGCGCGCACGTACAAGCACGCATGGGATCAGACCGCTGGCTCCCGGTCGAGTGCGATCGACGTATTGGGCACCCCTGCCTTGACATCAGAGTCATAATTCTCTGACTATCTTAGCGTTTAGTGCCGGTAGTTGCGCATGAGTGGTGATTCAGTCATCTGATTGGTTGCCCTCTGTGTCAATCAAGTAACGGGATTGATGATGGGCTGACGTAGTACGTTCTGTGTATTTAAGATAAAATAAGATAAGATAAGATAAGTGAAACCTTTATTAGTCTCGCAATGGAGAAATTCCCGCCGTTGTTTGAATGGCATTGCCACCGCCGAGGCATTTTCAATGCTTGTCATGTGAAAGCCCGGGAGACGCACAGCCAAAGAACCGCTGTAATCGCAAGCTGCTCGCTACTGTTAACAGCGGTCAACTTCCAGCAGCATTTTCAACTCATCGGTAAGGAAAGTAGCTATTGGCTGTCCTAAACGTCGCTCAATGATGTCATCAGTGCATGCGATTTACTTGGGGGGATGTTTTTTTTTCCTTATCTTTTTTATTTTGTAATTTTTATTTGTTGATGTTTTTTTATTTCAGACAAGGAAAAGTTTTACATTTACAATAATAATCAGTCTGCGGTCGACTGGTTGGGCACCCCTGGCTTAACGTTTTATAGTTAAAAATTTAAGTAAATATGTGTACTGCTGTAGTCTTTGTCTCAGGTATGTGAAGTATAAACATTGCTTGCATATTTTAAACATGCTGGTACCCAACTACAGTGGTCTACTCAGGAAATTAATTGGCTCTGGAAGAAAGTTCTTAACGAGAACAGTAGGTCGCCAATGAACAGGGATGCGTTTTGCATGTAAATGCCCTAATCCGTTCCAAGAAGCCCCAAAATTCAGACATAAATGTTTCCTGAAGCATAAAAAAATGCATCAAAATATGTAATAAATAGATGTTACAATTAGATTATTGCACAATAAATGAGAGTTGTGTTTAATGTAAAAATGTTTTGCCGTCTTTAGTTCATGTTCTCTCTCAGGAGTAGTTTTCGCCTGGCATTTTGTAAAGAACTGGACGTTTGCTTTTGTCTGCTTTTAACAACCCTTCGAAAATGTCAAAAAGGCAAACAGCATAGTGAGTAATCGCCCGACTTGTGAACACTTTTTCTGGGTGATTCAAATTTACATAACACCCAGTTTATATGGCACACGTGTAGAAGTGAAGGCCAGGGGGCCAGATCCTTCCCGCCACATCACATCTAAAGTATTTGCGTCTAGTCTCCTTAATATTTGTTGCTAAAAGAAACTGAACCACAATTGTAAATTGTCTTCACTTTAAATCACATAGAGATCATGTAAATGTAACACATAACTACCTATCTACACACAGAGACAAATATGGTAGAAGTCCCTCTTAGCCAATGGGATGCCAGGATAATTCTGAGTAATAGCCAATAGCAGAGCAGCTATATGTTGCGTTCAGGAAACTCGGAGCTGTGAGTCATCCTACATATTTCCCTTTCGTATCTTGAAATTTATTTTGAAACAAGAGCCAATATTTTCCTTTTTGAGAGGTTTCATAACTTGAAATTTTGTATGAAGAGACATTCATAAGGAGAGGTACCACTGCACACTTACACAAAAATTCCTGGTGGCGGAGGGAGAGGTACGGTTTTTCACTGATCGTGGGCGGTTCTTGATCCTATTAACCGCAACAAGTGAGGGATCACTTTATGTGTATCCGGATTTATTGGTGTTTTTTATGACAAGTTGGATAGATAACTACAAAGAGCAGAAAATCTGCTTCACTTTATTTTGTCAGTGGAACATCGGAAAATGTAAAGTGCTTCATAAATACACCGATAACAGATAAGATTAAATGAAATGTGGAAAACTGAGTGTCAGGCAAGCCTCTATGAGCTGGGATTTTGCTGAGCGCAAAGTAGGAGGGATGGAACACACTCAAACCAACGGCCCATTCACAAAGCCAAATTTCCTTCTGCTAAAGAGCTGCTATTGTCTCCTCATGAGATGCATTTGTTCTCCTTCACACACAGCGATCCCTTGAAGATGGTTTTGTTTGTTGATCGCTTACCTGCCCCGAGTGTTTTACATTGGACTCAAATAATCACAAAGTCAATCAGAAACAAACTACTTCAAGGACTCAGTCAATTGTAATTTCTAAGCAACGGGGATGTTTTGGGAAATGCTGCTCTTCAAAGGATTTCTTCAGTTTATATGGCACACGTGTAGAAGTGAAGGCCAGGGGGCCAGATCCTTCCCGCCACATCACATCTAAAGTATTTGCGTCTAGTCTCCTTAATATTTGTTGCTAAAAGAAACTGAACCACAATTGTAAATTGTCTTCACTTTAAATCACATAGAGATCATGTAAACGTTTGTTTTCAATTTTTTTTTTAAATACCTGGAATGAATTATTTTCCTTGACTTCAGATTTCAAAAGTACTTTTCCATCACTTGCTGAGTACAAAGATAACATTATGAGGCTATAATATGGGGTGTCCAAAAAAAATGACATCATTTCGATACATTCATATGGTTTCAGAGTCATACAAACATCTGGGGCAAACCCTCACTACAATGTGTCCGATTGAAGTTCGAGACCATTACATTTTGGGAGTGACCTGGTGACTGTCGTGTTTCGTTCCAGGCTGAACAAAATTTGTATAGCCTACAAATACAACTAACAGTATTATTCTCTTTATTATTACATATTACGTATTGTTACTGACTCATCACATTTGTCACTGTACACATTTAAAGAGAGAGAGAGACAGAGAGAGAGACAGAAAGAGAGAGAAAGAGAGAGAGAGAGGGGGAGAGAGAGAGAGAGAGAGAGAGAGACAGAGAAAACATTATTACAAGTATACAAGTATTCTCCTGAAGCATTTGATACTTTGATCCTTCGATGTTAAATGTTTTTTAAACGTCATGCCACTGAGTGGAGACAAGAGGCTTCTCTTTGCACTGAATGAGTAAGGAGCTCAAGGGTGCAATTACACGTTTGCTTTTTTATTGCAGCAACAATACGAGCGGCAGTAAAGCAATCCAATATTACAACTTCACATACCTTCAAAATCTGATAAAATCCCTTCGAGGTGGTCATTCACGGAGAGTGCCGACATCCTGTCTGAAGGAAAGACTCCTTATGTCACTCCAAGTCTGATGAATAAAGTTGTTGTTTTCTGTCCGCCAAAATGAATTCCTGATACAATGAAAATTCGAACCGAAGAGGAGCTATTCGCGCTCAGATGGTTAATTCAGTAATCAGCGCTTCTACCGCCGTCCCGTCTGCGTTGTGGCCACTCACTCACTGGTGTCCGAGTGGGCTCCACGAGCACTCAGTCACAGTCACAGTGGCCCGCCCATCTTGAAGCCCAACCTCCTACATCCAGCCCCCGACCCCCGGCCCGGCAAGACCCGAGGGGGACATGTAGATGGGAGGGATGGACGGATGGTGGGCGGAGACGTAAACAACACCTGCAAAAATCCCTCAGCTAAAATTTCTCTTTCTAAAGCGCTGCACCCCGTTTTCTCCCCTTTGGCTACAAGTGGAACTAGATTTGTCAGTGAATGCCAGTAACTCTGTAAATTGACGTTTGCAAACTTTTAAAATGGATTCAGGGGATTAATTATCTAATGCAACAAATTTCAAGATGCAAAATTCCAGTTTGACTTCTTAACCGGTTTAGAGACTATATAATCAGATTTGGGCTGCATTTACACAAGAACAGTAGTAACACAAATTAAAGTTGTTCCATAGACAGTAATAGATGACAGTAATTAAAACGATACCCTTTATAGAGCCCCAAGCAGAATTTGGGTTGGCTCCCCCTCCACATCATCACCCAGGGATGGTGCTACAAAGGGGCTTGGGGGTGCTACAGCCTTGTCAGAAATCTGTGTCGCTCCAGTGAAGCTGTTCCAGCATTTTATTTGAGAAAATATATCAATCCATCCATTTTCTAATCCGCTTATCCTTACGATCATCACGGACCTTGCTGGAGCCTATCTCAGCTGTTTTCGGGCAGTAGGCGAGGTACACCCTGAACTGGTTGCCAGCCAATCGCAGAGCACACATACCTAGGGACAATTTGGAGTGTTCCATTGTATTTGGAAGGTGGGAGGAAACTGGAGTACCTGGAGAAAACCCACGAAGGCACAGGGGCAAGATGCAAACTCCACACAGCAAGGCAGGGGCCTGAAATCGAACCCTGCACCTCTGCACTATGAGGCGGACGTGCTCACCAGTCGTCCACCTTTTTTCTATTTTCTCAGCCCCCTATGTAATGGTCAAGTCCTTGAGGCCCAGCCGTGCCTGACTACTATGTAGTTGTATTGCTCCATGTACAGCACTTTGTATGCAGCGATGGCTGTTTGAAAGTGCTCTATAAATACAGTTGAGTTGAGTTGAGTAGTTCTTCTTGACTACTACGTATCGGTCGTTTGCACACGTCTCTGGGCAAGGCATATTGGGATATTGGGAGGTTACGCTCGCACATGCAGCTGTTAACAGCAATCATCAACCTGTTTTATGAATGCATTTTCAAAGTATTTTGATGACGTGCCAGCTGACCTACAGCCGCAATATCGGCAGAAAGTTGCTGTTTGGATGAATGCTGTCCAAGGCTGATTTTTTGGGGAAAGAGTCAGACATTGTGTTGATGGTCGTCCTCCCGCTGGCCACGCAGAGACAACGACAGAAACGGCGGCCGATCCGCAGACCACGGCATGTTGGCCGGACTGGCTGGGTCGGCTAGTGCTCCTCGCGACGGCGATGTTGCCGGCGTCAACTATTTAAAATCGGAATTTAAAATCACGTATTCAGTTTAAATTCATCTCTCCTTTTATTATTTATAATTTTATCTGTGGTTTTATTTTTCTCGTTTTGGTTGTAAAGTGTCCTTGAGTGTCTTGAAAGGCACTTATAAATGAAATGTATTATTATTATTATTATTATTATTATTATTATTATTATTGTTTACTACCTGGTGTTGACGTTATGCTCTGTTCCACATGACTGGAGGATTACAACTATTTTGTAAGTGGATGGATAAGTGTAAACTTCAAAAATCTTATCCAAAGAAGCTGTTAAAGTTGTTGCATGGGGAAGAAAACCGTTGTGCTTTGTTAATCTCTGATGAATAAAGTTGTCATTAGCACTTTATCTGCGCATTCTTGAACATGGCGATGGAGCTTCCCGTTTGTTAACTTTTTCAGGTGTTATCAGCTTGACTGATGCATTCGTCCCATTGTGGAGGTAACCCACCTCTCGGTCCTGTGACTTAACGGCGACAGTGAAAGACAGACGAATGAACGGGATATCATACAGCTGATTTATTTGATCTCACTTCAGAAGCAGACAATTTGCTATTATTCGCTTCGCTTCAATGAATAGCAGGTTTCAGGATTTGCCTCAAAACCCATCTGCTATCTAAATTGTACCAGTGAGCTAGTTTCCTCATTAATCCAAAACATAAATAGCTTGATGTTTCGTATTATTTATGGACAGATTTTTTTAATGTGGGCACAATAAATTAATATCTTAACACTACATTTTCAAAAGACAAACTTCCCATTCACAAAGTGATCACTGCACACACAAACTATGAAATGGCCGTTGTGGTCTGCACGGGAGATGTTCATCAGCCACTTTAGTTGTCGTTTTTTTAGACATTTCTTCTGTCTCATGGCCCTGAAGAAGAGTGCACCAATTAAATGCAAACAGTCGAATACGATCCACCCATGATAGTGAATAAAAAAACAAATACAAAGTGGAAGTGACTTCACGTCCAAGCGACCTTTACAAGTATGCGCTTGAGGATTTCGGAATTTGATATTCATGGTTTTGTTTTCATTTGTTTTAATGTGGTAAAAAAGAAGACCCTTTTTGGGGGAGAAATGGTTGGCTGGATTAAGTGCAGATCACAGATAGCTGGAGGAATTTGGCAAAGCTCAAAATGCTGAGTGACACATGCAATCACAGCTCTGCCATTCATGAATCAATATAGAAAATGTTTAGATGGCAATGATAACGCGGGCATTTTCAATAATGTCCATTTTAAAACCTGTTATGAATAGATTTTACTTTATAAATTGGGATAGGTGTGCAAACAAATGGGCAAAACAGCACAATTTTTCAACAGGTTTTCCTTCGGGCAAAAGTCAACATCTAGAACAGTGAATGTGAACTGGTAGGTTGGGACCACAAAGTGGATCGCGGATTCATTTTGAGTGTGTTGCAACGAATAAAAAATTAATGGGGTTTGTTGGTTTACGACTGTCATGATCGTGGTGGTGGAGGACCCCATAAAGCAGGCAGGAGGGAAGAGCAGGCTGGTTTGACAAAACATATTAATAAAACACTGAGAAAACAAAATCCAAAACAAGGTTCTGAAAACAACAAGAACCCAAAGTAACAAACAAAAAACCATGACAGAAGCAAAAACAAGGACACAAACAACACCAACATAAACGAACAGAAACTCTAACAGAAACAATGACCTGACCCTGAGTGGTGGGGCAGGGAATCCTTTTAACAGAAAACCTACTCATGACATAATGACCAACAGGTGTGCCGCTGTAGGAGGAGCCCTACAGTGCCACCTGTTGGTCACAAACGGATCTGCCGTGATAACGACATTGCTGACCACAATGAAATACAAAGTTTGTAGCTTGCACAGCAGCACATGAATGTTGTCATGCTGCCATACTTACTGTTTTTCAATGGATTGTTTTGAATGTATGGCTTTGAAGCGTATTTCATAAAAATATTATATTCCTTTGATTCTGGCTTTTCTGCTGCGTTAAACATAGATTGGTGATAGACTATAGCATGTTCTGATTTACCTACAAATTTGTATTGTGTTGGCCATAGATGGGTTATTCCAGAATTGGAGGACATTTTATGTCCCACCCATCAAATTTTAAGTCAATCATCCATCCATTCTCAACCGCTTATCTGGGGTTGGGTCACGGGGGCAACAGCTTTAGCAGGGAAGTCCAGACTTGCCTCTCCCCAGCCACTTCTTCCAGCTCTTCCCGAAGGATCCCAAGGCGTTCTCAGGCCAGTCAGGAGACATAGTCTCTCCAGCGTGTCCTGGGTCATCCCCGGGGCGTCCTACCGGTGATCAGCCTCTGCACTGTGAGGTCAACACACGAACCACAGGTCTGCAAATGCACACCACCTGCTTATCTAAAAGTCAATTCACAATACTCTGTGTCATACTTGGGTTAAGGATTTCAGTTATGGGAATGACATGTCACGGTTGGAGAAGCTTTAATCGCTTTATCCTGAAGTAGATGCACAAAAAAGAGTTGTGTCAACAACAACAAAAGTCACATACTTGAGCATGTGCATCAAGAGTATTTTCAAAGATGAATCTCTCTCTTTTTTATTTTTTGTCAGTCCACATATTGTGTTGTTTTAGAAGGAAAATTATCGTAAACAACTGACTGTCTCGCCCATTCCCTTCTTTTAACCACACACACTCACACACACACACACACACACACACACTTTCCTCCTTTACTGAAGGTCGGGGGCTCTCATTACTGCTATGGCTCTGAACTGGGAAGGATTAATGTCACTGTGGTTTTTCGTAATCTGTGCAAAGGCTGCTGTGTGTGTGTGTGTGTGTGTGTGTGTGTGTGTGTGTGTGTGTGTGTGTGTGTGTGTGTGTGTGTGTGGGTGGGTGGGTGTGTGTGTGCGTGTGTGTGTGTGTGTGTGTGCGTGCGTGCGTGCGTGCGTGTGAGTCAGAGAGATGGAGACAGAAAATGATATACTTCAAAAATGAATTTTAAAATACTCTACAAGAATGAACGGCATGCACAGTTTAGTAGGGGAACTGAATGCACTTGAAGTACCTTTGCAATTTAATGTGTGTGTTTGTTGGAAGGACTGCGAAAATTCACAGACATGCTTAATTATCACTGCTTAATTATCCCTGCATAATTGATCCGTTTCCTGTGATAGTTTTAATCGCTCCATAAGATGCATTAAGTGTGTGTGTGTGTGTGTGTGTGTGTGTGTGTGTGTGTGTGTGTGTGTGTGTGTATGTGTGTGTGTGTGTGTGTGCATTCACAAATGGCCTGGAGGTATTGGTGTCTGATGTCTCATGAATTGAAAGGGCGAATTGTAAGGTCTTAAGAATTTAGACACCACATACCACAGTCATTTTGACAGACATGCTGCTCTTTAATACAGGAAGATTAGGATTATCTTTTTTCCCCGCCAGTTCTTATTTACTTGCAACAGTATCTCCATTGCAGTTGAGAAATATGTGTCATATTACACAGGACCATTGGTTATATTGTTTGCAAAGTG